AAATGAGGGAATTCAGATCTACAATTGCATGCTTATTAGGGATGATAAGCTTGCCATGTTCAAATCTGTCCACATATGGCTCTTTTATTATAAAGGATGAGTGGTTTCTTTCCCTCCCTTTTTCATTTTGAATCTGCTGACTTTTTTGCCATATGTTTGCTTCAATTTGCAATTAATTTTCTCTCTTCATTCCATCTCATATCAATTTCATTTTATTTTTGACTTGCATGATTGAGATGATCTTGTGTAGCTCAAAAGCTTAATCGAAGGGCAATAGAGACTCAGAGAGATTCAAACCCATCAAATAAATCCCTGGGTTGCAAGTGTTCTACGATTTTAGGCATTTCATGCTTGAGTTTTGAGAATCAAATTGTGCAGGATTTTCCTTATATAGTTCTATGAATATTAAACATTGTTATTATAAATAAGTTTACTGGAAATGCTTTTACTTTAGTTTCACAAACACGACCATATTTTTTACTTTTGTTAAAGACACGAGAGTATTTCTGATTAGTTTTTTCAATGAGATAGATTTGTCAAAGAAAGACTATTTCTGAATTCTGATTAGTTTTTTCAATGAGATATTTTTTTTTTGCAGTAAGCTCTGTTTATAGCCATTCTCAATCGGTTTGTTTCTTTATAATGATGTGTGGTAGTTACCCTACTGCGGTTAGATCCAAGACTCGCATGTTTTAAAAGCTATACTTTTTATATAAATAAAGAACCATACTATGCGGTTCCTAAAAGTTTTGTGTTCTTTGGTGTTAGAGTTGATTAGAGTATTATTTTTAAATTGGTTATTTGATACACAATCCCGACGACTCTAAAACTTAATTTTTACTTCGAGTAGTTGAAAGTTTATACGAAGTATTATATATTGAAATTTTAAATATGTAATATTGGTATCATATGAAAGATCTTAAATATGAATTGTGATATATTTTGTAAAAATTGGAGTTGATATAAAAAAGTTATATCATTTTTTAAAAAAGGGGTTTTTCGTTTTCTTGGGTCCCAAATCTATGCGTTTTATTAGCTCTGCCATTATCACGTGTAGCCCTAATCTCATTCTCCTAGATATATGTGTGAAAGGGAAGTAGGTGATTTGGTTTCTAATAATTTTAATTTTCTTTAAAAGTAAAAGTTAATTTTTCTTCTCTTTCTGAACGCATCAATCCATTTTTACAACTACTTAGTAATTTTTGTAATGCATAATATTGGTCAATACCATGATATAGCTTCAATCCGAAAGAAAACTTATTTAACAGTATTTGGTAAAAAAAGGATTATAAGATCAATAAATACAAAAAATAGAGGTTAATCATACTGATTTTTAATTTTAATACATCAGACATAAAGTTTCCATTCACATTTTATCCTAGATAAATTTCTTCGATATTACTTAAGAGATAACCATTTGTAAATTGTAACAATAGGGAAATTTTTTGATAGGGGTTAATGAATTGTGATGTTTTTACTTGGATTGTAATTTGCTGGTTTGGTCTGGTCTGGTCGAAACTGGCCTGGTCTGATTTCTTTGTAGTTTTATAACTATCCAACTCCGATCTTGTCTGGTCTGGTCTGATTACAGTCAAAGTAAAAATCATCCTTGATGTGTTTCTTTATCAAGCAATACTACCCGAGATTAAAGTTATAAACATAGACTTTTAAGTACATTGTTTTATATCATTTGGACACATTAAATATCACGCAAGTAATTTTTTAGTTTGTTATCCCGTGCAACGCACGGGTACAAGACTAGTTCATCTTAAAAGCCAATAAAGTCATCGTTTATACGCGGATAAATCAAGTACGTAAATGACGTGTATGGTTTTGACATGTGCAATAAGCTACCATGAGTAAGTTTGTCGCATGACCCAATTAAGAGTAGACAAAGTGTATAGGTAATAGTGTAATACTAGTATTAGTTTTGTTGCAAGTATAAATGCAGAGTACACTAATTTGAATCATTCAAACATAAAAATCATTTCAACCTTATTTTTTATTGTTACAGGCTTACACTATTCACCGCGTGAAATCAAAAGTTATATACTTCTTTTGTTTCTTTTTATTTAGCCAAACTTGAACTTTAAAGTCAAAGAAGTTAAACGTTAACGATTATATATTTATACACGGTAATATTGATGATATGAAAACAATATGAAAATGTTCTTTGTTAGAGATACTGTAATAAATGTAGAAATTTACTACATTTTACAAAATATTATAGGTAAAAAATGGATCAAAGTTTATCATCTTTGATTGGAAAAGTCAAAAATAGCCAAATAAAAAGGCACATAGGTAGTATGTAATAAAAACTGGCTGATAAGGATAGCCTATAGATGTGATAGTATGCTACAATATTTGTTAGTATTTTTCGAACTTGGCAGTATTAATCTTATTTAGAATTAAAAATATAATAATTCTGGTTTAAAATTCAAACACATTTTTATTCTATGTAGAGTTCGTAATTCCTTTTTTAATAAAGAATATAATTTGGTCAATTGGCCTTACTTGCAAACAATATACTCCGTAACAATTTATGGAACTACTAATTCAATTAAACTAGTGCTCTGACCGTGACGGGTGTCATTTTGAAATAAAATTTTACGGAGCATATATAGTTGTTAGTACAAGTTTATTTAGTATGAAAAAATTGTTCTAAATATGAGTACACTATAGATAAAGTGTAAACATAGGAGTAGCAATGCATAGGAAAAAGAGTCAAACAAACCCGATCTATTGCAAAAACATCACATAAATCCTTTTACTAAATAAAGCATCATAAACATATATCCATTTATTATCAAAAACTCATCAATTAGGCCAATTGACCTACTCCCAACCGGTAATATCGGGTCACCCGCATTTTTTTTCATTTTCCTGTACTTCATCTTGTTCCAGCCGTTTTTGTTCTTCCCCATCCTGTTCTAAGTAGTACTCCGTATTTTTTTGCTTTTGAATTGCTTTATCTTCATTCAGTCATTGTCACTATCAATTTGTGTTTTAGACGTTTAGATAGATAGTTTTTCATGATCCTATACTGATACATTTCATTTTTCAAATCACAGATTGATAATTTGTGTATCTTTCGGATCCCGGATTCATAAAATTCCAAGAATCTTATTAACATTTGGATTTTATTTTTTCCAAGAATGAACATATTTCTGATTCAGATTAATTTATTGAAATCCTAAGAAACTAATTTCAGACAATATATCGTGGGAGAAGACAACAAATTTAAATGAAAAAAAGGATAAAAGGGGGAAAAAAAGAAAAAACTAAAAATACAAACCATTGGAAGAAACTTGGAGTGATAGATGAAGAAAATGACGAAGAAAATGAAAATTAAAGATAACAAAAGTGTGCAGCGACTCCAGCGAGAACATAGACCCAGATTGAGATAGAAGGAAAAAAAGGAATCAGGAAACACCGAACAAAAGAGAATCGTAGAACTACTATGCAGCAAGAAAGAGAAGAAAAAGATAAAAAGAAAAGCTAAAATGACAAAACCTGTTATAGGGGGTTATATGACTTATATCCTGGTCATTTGATCTAATGTAACACTAACACGAGTCCTAACCCTTTTCAGTATCTTTTTTGAAAGGAATCCTTTTCAGTATTAGGAAACGTAATCCATCTTACTATCCAGAGTTTAACTGGCCGCGTGGCAAACGTAATCCATTAGGAAAGGAGTATGTGATGTTAATTCGATCGTTTGGTGTGGGTTTTGCCTAGGTTTTGCATACATGATTAGTAGCATAATATTTTGGTTCCTATAGCAAAAATAGAAGGAAAAAAAAAGATGAACTCTAGGATATTTGTGATTGATTTTTGGATTTTCTTGTTAATATTAGAAAGATTGTAATACACCCATAAATCAATAATAATACATACTTTTTTTTAAACGATCTCTAATAATAACAAATATTTGAATATTCGATAAGAGATTCAGTCATTTACGACATCAAAAGTTGATACCAAACCATCAAATGAATGATGTTTGAAAATAGGGTCACATATTTGATATATTAATAGGAAAAATTCCCAAGATATGACTAAAAGTCTAAAACATATCGAGTTTCCCAAAATATGACTAACTATGTTTTCCCCCCGAAATATGACTAAAAATCGAAAAAGAAAAGAAAATTTCGTTATATTATAATGTGGAAGGTCGAAAAATATTGCACTTTATGAACGCGTTATAGCACAACATTTACTGCACTTTATGACGGCATTCACTGCACGACATATAATGAACTTCATGCACTTAAGTTATGGCACTTCAATTTGTCCTTTTTTTTGTTTTGATGATTTTAGTTTTTACGTTTAATTGAATATAATGCACTTCATGCGAGAGTTATGGCATGACATTACAAAATAGTATAAGGGCTTATTTGAACCTTTTTCCTAATGTATACGGGTTTAATGCACCAAACCCTCCTGTATTTAATACATTTTTTTCTATATTGGAGGCTAGTGTGCCCCTACTTCTCCTCATGAATTGAAAATAAACGTACAAGAGCATCTTCATTCATGATCTTAAAATAAATAGTTTTTCTATCACACATCTTTAATTTGTCACATCACATTTACTCAATAAATTTTAAATAATCTCAAATCGTAAAACTCTCCATCAACCATAATACTCAAATAATTAGTTTTTCTAGATGATGCATTAAATGCAATCTAACTACAACCTAAAATAATCTGGGATCCAAATCTTGATACCGGATTTTCTTTTTCAATAATCTCCCTTAATAATCTCTTACTCCCAATGATAATCTTTCAAATAATCTTCCACATCACCCAATTAAACCGCAAATACTCTAATGGATGGGGATGCCCTAAGTTATATATTAGACTGGCCTTCCAATTAAGTTTAGAGAATTTAAAATGAAATCTCATATGGAAATTTGATATTAGATCAAACTATATGGTCATGAAGGGTGGCAAATAGTTGGTCTCATGCAATGAAATAATTGAAAAATTATACGAAGTATAACCTATATGGCTATATTTTTTATTATTTCTGGGGATCCATACAGTTTACAACATGCATGTACTTATTAGGATACAAATTCAAAGCACTTAACGAAATGCGTACATTCAAACTTACTAGTAATATTCAAGACACAACAACCATTTTGCAGTCATCCCAAGACACACACACTTACACACACAGTTGCAAACGGACGTCCTTCATAAAATAAAGGCTAAATACAAACACAACAACCATTTTATTAGAAATCCCGCACTAAAAAACATGTTTTTACAACATGATTTTGTGATGCTTGCTTTATTATAATAAACTGATTACAAATGCAGTTTCTTATTTATTAATTAGAACAACATTTTATCATAAGATGGAAACATGGACCGATCAAACTGAAGTAGGTTTGGGAGTGTGGTGAGTCTCGATGTCCTTGGTGAGGTTGATGAAGTAGGAGAGCATTGAAATGGGATGTTCCACATCTTCATTAGGCATTTCATAGTCTAAGGTCCATGTCACCAAATCAATGCCGTCCTTTGTCTCTATGTGGATTGTTATTAAGAAAGCTTTGTATTGTTCCATCAAGTCTCCTTCTAACATCTTGTATTCAACCAGCTTCTTCTCTTCATCTATTTTTTGAATAAGTTGTTTTGCCTTCTTCTCTTTCCCGTCTGCATGTGCATCACAAAATTAACTTAAGAAATTTAAACAAATGTTTGAATTGGTTTGGTTTGTTTAACCCAGATTTAGTCTGAATAGACCTGGTCTAAACTGTTTTAGTCTGAACTCATCGGGTGTGCTCTGGATAGAATTACGTTATATGTGTATTATATAATTATCGAAACATATATACGGCCGGGTGTGGATTATTTGGAACTAAAACCAACATAATTAAAAATATTTTTAGTCACATACCATCAGACTAGATCAAGTTAGATCAGAAAATTAACGAGGGTATATACGTACCATGGGTGTATTTCCAACATATGATGGTGCCAACGTGGCCGAACTCATGACCCTCAACCAAATCGCAACCTTGGACCTTGTCTGGGCTCGCCGTGGACACGTCGTGTGGTTTGTACCTGAAGAGTTCATGAAACAAATCTCCACCGGCGTTGAATTCAATTGCGGCTATCAACTTACCCTTTAACCCCATCTCCGGCTCAGCTCTTCCAAGTTTGCTCTATATGGAATGCGATAGAATTTCTTACCGAAATTGGATATTGAATTGACACTTGAGAGCTGCCTTACTTCGTTCTTCCTTTATATAGGCACACCCCACACAAGGCTGCAAGCTAGGACATGAATAAAATTTTTTGTTGTTGTTGTTGTTATTATTGAAGATGTTAAATCCATTCTACAGAATAGGGCCCATCAATTAAAAGGATCTCAATTTTTTAGTAAATTATACAGCCATACGGGGTGAGGTATATATAGGAATATAGATCGATAAAATACAGTAAATAAGTAATGAGTTGTGTTGTTTTAAGTCAAATTTAAAGTAACTATTAGAAATTTGTATTGTATTGTTTATTGAGTATTTAATTGATTTGAATATAATTTTTTTTGTTTAGTTTTTATATCAAACGGAGCCTCCAAATTCATTAGACTGCCCTTATTGTTATTGTTATTGTTAAAATTCGGGGTTCCATCCTAAAAGGTTAACCCGTTAGGAGGAGTAGCCCAAAGGCTTATATAATGTTTAATTGTTTTATAGCTTTCTGGTGTGGGACAAATGCTTTAACACGCCCCTCAGCCTGAACCGGGCTGGACAATATCAGGGTGTATAAACGGGCTAAACAATCCCTTAACAAACAACCCTTAATCATGAGTGCTAAACAAGCCGTCAAACCATAACTGGAATCGGCTCTGATACCATGTTAAGACTCTGGGTTCTATCCTAAAAGGTCAACCTATTAGGAGGAGTAGCCTAAAGCCTTATATAGTGTTTAATTGTTTTATAGCTTTCCGGTGTGGGACAAATGCTTTAACAGTTATTGTTGTCGTTGTTGTTGTTGTTATTATTATTATTATTATTGGTGTATACTACATTGTTATTGTGGTTGTTGTAATTAAGTTTGTAACTAGTGGTTTACAGATTTTTGCACTCCATTTAATAAAGTTAGTTATATTAGACATTTTTGCAACAATGTTCTTTGCTACTCGCCTACACCCCAAAGGTAAAAGGTCAAACAGAGCAAGTGACCCCAACATGAAGTACGAACTTTTATAGTTTATTTTTTATTTAATTTGTCGCGAAAAAAGTCTTTAATATTGATTTTCTTTAACAATTTATGTGATATAGTGCATCTCTTCCTATTTATTTAATCATCTTTTCTTATTTAGTCATTCCAAAATATAGCCACTTTCCATTTTTGGTATTAATTATTAAAAACAAATGGAAAGACTACTTTACCCTATTGATGATTCAACGTATTCTAAAAAATCTTACCCCTGCCCAGCACCCTACTGGCAAACACTCTGAAGTCGTGTTTTTCTCTGCGTCCGACTCCCAAACTCCGGCGGTTGAATACTTGAATATGTGTGTGTTCCGTCACTTTTCTGAAAGTGAAGCTACTGTTGTCCGAATAAATTGTTCGGTCCATTTTTCAGCTTTCCATCGTTTTAAATCAAGGGCAAACTTGTCCAGTCAACTCTAACTACTCATTTTTCTTATTCAGTCAAACGGACGGAGTATATTTGTCTATTCTTTAAATTTCAAATGTAATATGGTGACCTGTGCGATGTAGAGGTACGAAATCCATTAAAAATTATGAATTGATTATGCTACATCCATTTCTCATGACTTTAGTAAGCTTAACTTTTTTTATTACCCCTCCTTCCTGGGAACAAGTTATCGGGTTGACTTTCACAAATTTACTGAGGGATAAATTTTATTGTTTTACACTGTTTCGACATTGTTTCCGTGTTTCGACACTGTTTGACACTGTTTTGCACTGTTTGACACTGTTTTGATGTAGGATAACTTTCCATTTAGGCAAATGAGAAGTTTCTTTTGGGACATCCAAATAAAGAAAGTGGGAACTTGTCTCCGGGACGGAGATAGTACAAAACATTAGTAACTATCCTTTCAAATGATTAATTTATACTTCCTCCACATTTTTTTGTTTGCTACACTTTCCATTTTTGGATTTATTCAAAAATTTATTACACTTTCCATTTTTTGTAAGTTTTTCCTTTCAAAATACTTAACTACTCATACTTTATCTACTTTTTATCATCTGTTTCATACTTATTCACCATCTTTCCTTCTTTTTCTACATTATTCATTTCATTACCTATACTATTTCATTCTTAAAAAATGTGCCAATACCTATAATAACAAACAAAAAAAATAGGGAGAGAGTATTTCGCGAAAATGGGTGGCTGGAGATAGATTATGATGGCAAATTGGCATTTAATCCGTGACGGTTGGGAAGCTCGTACAGTAGACTGTTCGGTAAGGATCACAATCATCACATTAGCAATAAGTTGGATAAAACATCAATGATGGGACGGTCATTATAGAAATTGGTGCCCAAAATGTCATGGAAAAACTCGAAAAATATATTCTTATTTTCATATGGTTATTGAAGCCAATTGACAGATGCTTTAATGTGAAGCTACGTTTGTTGTCAATTTTATAAATCACCTCCTGATGGTGTAGCTCATGAGCTATTTAGGGGTGGCACTATCACATGCGGGTAATAGTCATTTTAATGTTAATCAGACCTATATTTTGACCCATTTGAGGAGTTGATGTTTATATTAACTATTTCTATTCAAAATATCAAAATAATATTGTGAAATCTATATAAACATACAACAGTGTCATTAGATGTTATGATAAAATACTAAACCGTTTACCAAAATATTAGTTTGATAAAATTAGGGGTGAGCATTCGGTCGGTCGGTCAAATAACCAACCGATAACCGAATAACCGACCAATGTTTTTTCCTCTCATAACCGACCGAAAATCGACCGACAACATTACAAAAATCGACTGAAAAATGTCATTCGGTTTCGGTCGGTAATCGAATAACCGAACATAACCGACCAAAACATATATTTTTCAAAATTATAAAAGTTGTAGATAGCACATTAATAGATAAAATAATAAATACCAAAATTGATTCAACATATTTAAATGTAAATAATTGTTCTTAGTCCAATACGATTACAAAAACTAAAAAATCCCACGTTGAAACTACTTCATTGTTCCACAATTGTCTTTTTCAATATGAAAACAAAATAAAAAAGAATATGTTAGCGAATAAATAAGCTAATATCTTATTAATCTTTACACCCCAAATGAGCAAACCCATCTAAAAGTTTCTGAATATTTTAAATCCCACTAAAGAAAAAATTGAAAATCAAAAGATCTGCGATGTTGAGTAAGATAATAAAGAATCTAGAAAACATTAAAAGAAAAAATGTGTGCAATTTCGCAACGATTAAATAAGGATTTCGGTTGATTTTTCTTTACCAAGGTTGATTCCTCCAGAACTAATGAAGGTGTACGTGGAGGTTTGAAATTTTGAAGAGGGTGTTCCATGAATTGATTATAAGAATACAAGTTAAAGAAACGGGGAAGTGGATAATTGAAGAACGGGCTCCATAGCATTCCACTGATGAGTTTTGTAGGTGGAGTTCAATAGGCGTCGGCAGGACTTCATATTTCATTCGAGTTTTTTACAAGAATATTATTAAATAAAACTCATTTATATAAATATGACTATTCATTACTACAATGTAGAGCTGTTGTAACTTATGTTCAAAACTTGAACATGAATTACTATTATTGTATTACTACTCTAGTAAGTAGTCATCTTTTTGTAAACCATCTTTATTTTGATCATATTTATGTAATTATTTCATTTCATTACTATCAAGTTCTTTTTTTATCGTTACTAAGGAGTTATTAATTTATTATGGAGTATATTTACTTAAATATTTACAAAAAAATCGGACGCTTATCGGTGACCGACCGATAACCGACAAATAAAACCGAATAAGCGAATAACCGATTATTTTTAATTTATGATAACCGATAACCGACCGAAAACCGATTTTTTCGGTTGGTTCGGTCACCAGTTTTCGGTCAGGTCGGTTGAATCGGTTATTTGCTCACCCCTAGATAAAATACTACGAATCTACAAGCCCGTTTGATTATACTGAAATGGGTTGGAGCGGTTGATTCTACTGAAATTTATGAAGTTTTGACTGAAGTAACTGGATTGGCTGATTCTGCCGATTTTTGAAGAAAAAAAATAATGAAATTATTTTTAATTAACAAAATAAAGAAAAAATTATATGAAAAAATAATTATAATGATCCTCTACAGTAACTTTAGCCGATACAACTAGAAAAGTAATTTTAATCTTACTTTTTCTTAATATTACCCAATTCAGCACGCGTAATAAAAAATTACGTGTTTGGTGAAATAGTTGGTTAATTGGCCTGATAAGCCGAAAAACAGGGTTTTCAAACGGGCTCTGCGAATAAATAGAAGTAAAAATTATCTCTCTTGAGGATCATTGATGAAAAAAGAGGGATGTTTGAGAGAGAATTACCTCTCGAACTACAGTGAAACAATATTTGTAATATAACGTTTCAAACAAAATAATTAAAAACAAATAAATAAAACTTAAAAGTAAAATATTTATACATGAAAATTTTATTTACATAAGTTAATATTCATTTTTAACATTTTGTCTGACATACTCCGTATTACATATCGTTACTACACTTAATAATACTCCGTAATATTTTTTGTCCAAACATATTTATTCTGGTCATAAATATGCTCAACAGATGATCTACTGATCTGAATCACAAGACATCTTAATTTTATTTCATTTTTTTAGTTTTTTAGTTTAAATTTTTCATTTTTCATACTTTATTAGCTGACCTACTAACATTTAATCTTCTTATAATTTCTCTCCATCTCAATCCATCCCATTCATGGACCGTCCCTAAATATCCCATTTTTTCCTAAAATCTCCCTAAAAAATAAAAGCATGTCTTGATTAATGAGTTTATTTGAGGATCATTTTGATGATGTGTAAGAACTTTTTAGAGTGTGGTTGAAGACGAGAGATTATTTTGAAATATTATTTAAAAAAATTACTATAAAATATCAAATTCTTGAGTATTCAAGATTATTTAAACTTTCAATAAATACATTTAATGCGATCATGTCTTTTAACTTGAAGAGTTGAAGTTAGCAAGAAGCTTCATATAAAAAATTGAACAAATAGAGACCATGATTTAGGGGGAGTTCATAAGCTTTAATATTGATTGAAATTTTCTTATATGATAATAACATGCCAATCATAAATCAATCATAAAAACCCTTTGAAGAGTATGGATAAAGATGTTGTAATGAAGCAGAGTAGTTGAGAAGTAAATAATCCATGTTGCATCAATGATTACTTCATCACTCTATCTTGTGATGGAAAATTATGTAATTTTCAATACAGATTGATAGCATCACAGGCTCACAGTACGTATGATTGGTATGAATAGGGGTGGACTCGGGCCGGTTCGGGCCTGGGCCCGGCCGGGCCTCAGTTCATGAAAGGGGAGGCCCGGAACCGGCCCGGGTAACCCCCGGGTCCGGTTCGGGCCGGGCCGGGCCGGGCCGTGCCTCGGTTCAACTTAATTTCTTTTTTTTTTGGCTTTTCGTAATTAACCCCCAACCTTCCCTCCTCACCCCCAAACCATCCCAAACCACCTCAAATGGCACAAAATACCCAGCCCAACCCAAAAACTTAAAAAAAAAATCAAAAAAAAAAAAAAAAAAAAAAAAATAGGCCCGGACCGGGCCCGAACCGGCAGGGCCGGTTCACCTTTTCAAGGGCCTGAGCCTGGCCCGGAACTCCAGCGGGTCGGGCCTACCCGGATCGGTCCCTGGTCGGGCCGGTTCAAACAGTGACCGGGCCGGACCGGTTCCGGGCCGGGTCGCCCGGCCCGAGTCCACCCCTAGGTATGAATTGAAGTTTGCTTTGAATGCACCAACGGAAGCACCGTTAGAAGAATTTATTTTGGTATTAATGCGAGGACAGTTTGCCGATAAATTAAAATGTGGAATGAATAAGGCCATGCACGGAGTACTACAATAGTTATTACTCCCTCTTTCAATAAATTTACTTAAATACCATATTGAAAGTAATGAAAGTAAAAGTAAAATGGTATTTCAATAAAATAATGCTATCTCGTCCCTTAAAACATTATCTTCTTTCACTTTTTTGGTTGTTTAAATATATTTTGGTTCCTATGATTTTGCTTTCCTCTACAAAATATAATGGATGGATGAAGTAAACATTAACGAGACAGTGTATATTATAATGGTAATGATCTAATAGCAAAACATAAATCTAGATGATTTGTAAAAAAAAATGGAAGAATGTAAGAATGTAAATCTAGACGATTTGTGAATGCAAGAATGTGTGATAGGTGAATAATTAAAGACACCATGTATTCATGTGTGGAATAAATTTAGAGATAGTTGTTGAGGTGTATTTAAGAATATCACTCCGCATTAAATTTAGCTTAGATCACTTTAAAAATATCCTTGATAAGTAAATTTTATTTCGGGTGTTTGAATCTGATTCTTAAAACTGCTTCTGCTCTTTCAGGGAGAAAATGTAAAAGTGATTCTGATGCTCTAATTTACTTCTAGAATAACTTTTTTAAGAAGCTGCGGGAGGCTGAAAACTGATTCTGCTTTAAAAAGAAGCAAAAGCAGAATCAGTTTCAAACACCCCTTATATACTTCCATATTCGAACACGAATTCCGTAAGCATATCACAGATTTTCATGTGATTGTGATATGAAAAAAGGATTACGGAGAATTACATTATTGGTTCCAAGTTACTGTTTCCATTGCTTATATGCATAATGCATCCTCTATCTTTAACTGAGAATAAAAAATTCAGATTCTGCTTGAAAAAAAATGAAAGAATAAGAAAGAATTTTGTTGTAAAGAAAGAAGAGAGTTGTTATAGAACAAAAAAGGAGTATATACAAACCACAAGCCATTATTACATTCTTCTTAGTAAAGTCATCTCCATCCCTACAAAAAAGTGCCCAGATTGTTACACACTTGGTTTTAATATATCCTTGGATTAAAAAGTTCTCTGATTATCACAGAATAAAATACAGGATTCACTTTCATCCAAATACAAAAAGACCAAACCCTCTTTTAGCACACTCCACACAGGAAGCTCGCTCCTGTCCCACACATACATAGACTAACACACACTCACTCAGACACACAACTAACTTGGGCGGTCCATGATGGTTGGGAACGGTATTGTTCGGTGCAGTAATAAAGAAACTCAGATATCTAGGTTTGGATTGGAACAATTATTTAATAAATTATAAGTGGCCAAAGAGTTCTCATCATCAGGGGCGGAACTACGTTGGGCGCTGGAGGTGCCCGTGCCCCTGCAGATTTTTATTTGCTTAATATATATATGTTACTCCCAGATCGATCATAAGCCCGTTGTGGCAGTGTGCCCCTGCGCCTGGGCTGCCCCTGCGGAGTTCTATTTTGTTCACCCCATTGCAAAACATTTAAATTTTGCAATTGTAATGGCAAGTGTCATGTGTTGGAGGGAGGGGGTGATGTTCACCCTCCATGAAGGGGTGAACAAAATAGAATTCGCCCCCGCGGATCACAGCTAATTGCTAAGCAATACTCCGTATTTCCCAAAAAAGAAGCACCGCTGAAAATTGAACCCACTGACCTAGCATCATGTGGCAACAATTAACTTAGGGAAAAGATCGACCATTGGATCAACATGTCCAGTGGTTACTATGGCTCTTAATATAATTTATTACAAATAGAGTTTATGCTAGTTTGACTTGTGTATACTTCCTCCGTTCTCTAATAGATGGGAGTATAGCTTTTGACACAAGATTTAAGAAAAAACTAATAGGGGTAAGATAAAAGGTGTAGTGAGTTGTGTGTAAAGGAAAAAGTAGGAAAGAGAATGAAAAAGTAGGAAACAGAATGAGGGTTTACAGATATATTTATTGAAAAAACTTTCTAAAAATGGAAAGAGAGACATGTATTAGAGAACATCCCAAAATGGAAAGAAAGACATGTATTAGAGAACTGAGGGAGTATACAAAATTAATTTCTTTTTGTTTTCTTTTTCCATACATCATGTATGATATCCTTCTTATTCCTTTAGTTGTAACATTGAAAATTTTATACTATTCCCATATTCTATTTTAATTACATTTATTAATGCGTGATAACTATTTTTTTTTGTAAAATATTGCTTAATTCGTAACATTACAAATTTCATTATTGTTTTTAAATTTTTTTAGTAATAGAGAATTAAATATATTGACGGCTTTGGTGGTAAAACTTGTGCGTTTACAAACATTAAAGTGAAAATGATGCAATTAAAAAAGATTGAAGGTAGTATGATTTATGTGTTAATGTGCCCCTCCAACTGATCCGTGCTGGTTCCGCCACTGCTCATCATGAACATAATAAGATTATACTAGTAAGTTATAAGACTATCCGCAACCTTACTACATCATTAAATCAAATTCCCAACTAGTTTGTACCAAATTGGTGTATTCATTAAGTCAATCCAATTTTTTCTTGCAATCATGCACCGTCAATATATTCACTCATCAAATTTTTTCAAAGAAATTATATAGGCAATATTGTTATATGAGTTTAAATAAAATAAAGATCTTTTTTTAACATGGGACTCATCTCCTACTTTTTGTTCATTGGTCTTTTCTCCTACTTTTTGCTTTTTCTTCTCTCTTGGGAGTGAAAAGTGAGTTGGTTATTCCCCACCCTAAGTTAGCCATTCACTTTCTGCCTTTCCTATACCATTGATTAAACAAGAAATGGGGTGAAAACATTAAATTTATTATTTTCACTCCAAGATTGCAACTAGTCTAAAGGAGTGTTTGCAATTGATTAAAATAAGTTAAAAAGGGTGTGTTGAGGTTTATTCCCGAAGATCCGAAAGCCCAACACAAGCCTTGGATATTATAGGGATATTGGGTAGGGTTGAAATGTGTAAAAAATAGTCAGATAATATTCAACTCAAGAACTTACTTATATTCTGTAATAAAGCAATTACACTGAAACTACCCGAACGGTAGATGAATATGAGATTACAAGGATGGGAGATGTAAATCTATTGCTAAGCTCTAAGCATTAAAATGCTAACCCCTCACAATGATCTAAACATGGGTATTTATACTAAAATAGGGATGGGTGAGGTGGACACGTGGCCAAGTCCGGTAGGCTGTCACTTCTGCCATGTATGCACCCATGCCCCCACTTGCTGCCGCCATGACCCAGCATTAAATGCGGCTTCCACTTGCTGATTGCTCGTTCGGGCAGGGTGTTCGGTGTGTGGGACCCCGTCATAGGTGCTATCCTGCTTATGGACATATCCCGAACGCCGATCGGTATCTGAGCACTGGCACCTTGATGTAAGTGATCCCTGGAATGTTCCAAGTATAAGCTTTATCCCGAATGCTGTCCGGGAATTTCTTTGGACTGTCTTGGGCCCGCTTCTTTTTCTTGGATTTGGGCTTAGGGATATTGGGCCTGGACCTAATATCCCAACATTAGTCCCCCACTTCCTTTGTCTCGAACGGTAGTGAGTGCATAAGGAAGTAGAAGATTTCTGCCCGAATGCCGTTCGGGCGAGTATCGGATGGTATTCCGCCGGTTCCCGAGGCATATTTTGACGGTTTTTTGCAACTGCCGTTTTACTTCCCCGATAAACGTCATGATTTCTTGAGGAGGGTTATCCGCGTGACACGTGTATCCGTCATCATTACAAAAAACGTGTCCTCTTCTGATTGGCTGCTGAATCGGCGTGACAGAGTATAAATAGGCTCTTCTGGTTTTGATTCTGGGTTTCGAAACTTTGCATCTCCGGCTTATAATTCATCCTTCTCTCTAGAGCTTCATCCGCAGCTTCTGTTCAGGTATCCCTCGAGTTCTCTTCTACTGTTTAGTTCCCTCGTTCAGTGAGAATGGCACCCCTTCGTTCATCTGAACCCTCTACCTCCGGTACTGTAATTCCAGAAGGAAACCCCAGCGATATGCTGCAAGTTGTCCCAATTCCGGCGGAGGTTAACGGCAATGATTCCTCTTCCTCCTCCGATGTTTACCCTGATGGCACCAAATCGGGGGATGAATTGGAAGTCATGAAAGCCGGTCCTCCAAGCGGCGTTTCCTGTCATAAGCTTGACCTAGCTCTTATTAGGCTTATGCGCCAAAAGCTCACGGCCCAGAATCGGGCCCAAATTCAGATGTTAATTCCTGATTCGGTGGACTTCCGTCTTCAATCGGGTCTTCACCCAATGCGCCACTTCCCAGGGATGGTTGTGGTCCATTTCGACTCAATCAAGGCTGGTCTTAGATTCCCACTTCACTCCTTTTTTGTCTCTCTCTTAAATTTTTACAATGTAGTACCAGCCCAAATAATGCCGAATTCCTACCGGTCGATAGCTGGTTTCATTTGTCGTTGCCACAGTGTCAAGGTCACACCCACCCTAGAACTTTTCCACTATTTCTTTTCAGTTATCCCCCAGCAGTCCCACGGCTTTCTGGTGGTAAGCTCCCGACCAGGACACATTTTGTTCTGTGATGCCCCTTCTTCCATCAAAGGTTGGAAAGATAGGTTCTTCTTTGTCTCTGTCCCGAACGGTTTGATTCCTAGGAAGTGGAACGCATTCCCTCCTAAATCCCCCGAGCCATTCATCTCCGAAGAGCTTAGCAGAGATGTCATTGCTGTGGAGGCAGGAGGCTGCTTCAAAATTATGTCTTACCTGACTCCCGAACGGCTAATTAAGGCCGGGATAGGTACTGCCCGTATTCCTGGACTTACTTGACTGAAAACCAAGTACCATGGCCCGGGCGGTCCTTCCCGTGTGATATAATTTTTTAATCCACGTGTGAACCGCTCGGTACTAATTTGTTCCTTTTGTCTTTTCAGCTCCAAAGCAAGGCGAATCTTCAGATTCCGAAGGAGCCAATCCCGAACAACCGGCCATGGATGATAGTAGGCTATTCACTGCTGGACTTGATGACGAGCCACCAACTTCTCCTCCCAAGCAGCAGAGGAAGACAAAAAGAAAGAGGTTGAGGAAGGCCGATCAGGGCGCCTCCTCTCAATCCGCCCCTCCCGTCCCCGAGCAGTCTGAACCTGTTCGGGATGTAGAACCTGTGCAGCAGGTTGCCCCTGAGCAGCACACTCACGCTGACACGCTGATGGATCAGCTTTTTTCTGACCAACAGTCCCACCATTTCTCTGCTGAGGAGGTGCCTGCCCATCAGGCTGACCTGGCTAGTCAGTTCGAGCGGATCTCCCTCTATGATCCTGCTCATGAAATGCTGGAGAGGGGTGGCTGTCCAGCGAGCCAGATCTGGTCCACCTCTGGTTTCCTCAATGGACACAACCTTCCCCCAATACCGGTGGAGGAGATCGAGGAGTGCATTGCCCTGACTGTCCTGAAGGTAGCTTCTTGTTCATAATTTACTTTTACCTTTTTCTTCGTTTTGTCAGCTTATCATGTGCTCATACTTTTCTTTTCGATCATTAGGCAGGGATATACAGCCTGAAGCTCAAGGAGACCAGGCAGGCCAAGGAACAAGGCTTGCTGATGGCCAAGGAAACGGCCGAACAGGCAGCAGAGGCCGAACGGCGGGCTTTTGCTGAGGAGCGGAAGAAGCTAGAAGCCGAGGCAGGGGAGCTCCGTGTTAAAGTGGGCGCTCTCCAAGCCAAGATTGCAGCAGCTGAGGCCGCTCAGATCAAATTCTCTGAGGCTCCTCCTCAGATCCCGGACGGACCGGCCGAAATGACAGTTGATCTTTCCGCCGTTCGGGATTCCTTCAAGGCTTCAGAGGAGTTTCTGGCTCTGAAGGAGAAGTATGCCACCGAACAGCTCCCCGCTGTCTTCGGGAGGCACTTGGAGAAAGTGGCCGGAGAGGAGCGCCAGAAGGAGGGGATCAGGGTGCTTGATCAGCATCCTGTCACCAAGGAGTGGGCTGATATCCTTGCCCGGGGGATCTACAGTTCAGGCTGCCAACATATGCTCCAGCCTCTCCTCCCCCTCCTAGAAAAGTATATGGGCCGATCAGTGCAATCCTCCGACTTTCCCTCTGACCTCCATCCGGGTCATCTGAACGCCCTGATGGCACAGATGAAAAAGTGCCGGCGAGCTCTGAGGATGGAGGTCGTGCAGATTGCAGATGAGGCTGATGAAGACGATGATGAAGACGATGAAGATCATCCCGAACAATAGATTAGACATTATCTGTATTTCCTTTCCTTTGAATCAGTAGTTTTTGTACTTTCCGGCCAGTAGAGCCGATGAATATACAACTTTCGCTTGCTCATTTCGTCTTTGTGACTTTTACTGTACTTTATATTTGTTTTTCACCTATCAATTCGCCTCCGCAATACGTTTCATGTTGCTTTGTTCGGGTGATCTCCATAATCTGAAACGATCAGGTCACCTGTTCGGGTGAACTCCTTGTTAAATCCAGAATTCGGGACTTGATAATCTTGTTAACGCATGTTGTTCATAATGAACCCGTCCAGTCTGTACTTATGATCTTAATATAAGACCCTAGTGCCCTTTTCATTCGTTCGTAAGCTTTCATTCGTACCATACTGTTCGGGTACGCCCATCATTTTTACCACCGTTATAAATTTCCTTCCTGTTCGGGGAAACGCTTGTAGCCCTTTTCTTTTATCCCGTTCGGGGAGACGCTTTTAGAGGTTCGTGAACTTTGCTGATTTCGACCCCGTTCGGGTGTTCACCCACCCCAAAGGATGCTTTAACTTCTCTCAACCGTCTTGACACGTGTCTATTATTCATTCGAATTCCTGGCGGTAGCATTTCCTTATATAAGGATGCAGCTACTTTGTTTCAGTTTTTTCTGCTGCTTCTGAATTCCTTTAAGCTTTCTCTCTCTAGAATTTTCTTCGTTATTCTATGTCTGCCTTTTCTGGTTCGTCAGACTCCGAAGAGATGGCACCCACTTTGATTCGCCTTTCAAGGGGAAAAGCTCACCCCAAAGATCAAGGTACATCTACCCGATCGTCGGGTTCTAACGGGTCTTCTGCCTCACTTCATCCCGAACAGCCCCTCCCTGATGATGGATGTCAGTCGGGAGATGACCTAGCCATCTATAATAAGGGCATGCCTGAACGCCCCCCCCCCCCCCCCCCCCCCCCCCCGTTATAGTCTGAACTTTCATTGCATCAGGAAGCAACGTCAACGCCTTCCTGCTGATGCAGAACAGACGCTCCGCCAATTACTACCTCCACCCCGTCAGTTCAATGCGGGGTTCATCAAACATCCCATGCGACACCGTCCGGGATGTGTGTTGGTGCACATGGATGCCTTGGTTGCTGGTTTGCGGTTCCCTTTGCACCCGTTCGTTGTGGAGTTCCTCCGCCGGGTATCAGTATTGCCGGCACAGTTCGTGCCTAGCACCTACAGGATCCTGAATGGGTTCATTGTCTGGTGCCACGACCTGGGAATTGCCCCCAACGTGGACCTCTTTTTGCACTGTTATGGCGTCCAGCCTTACTGGACCACTGGGTATTTGCGGCTTGTGGCCCGTCCTGGCCGTTCGCTTTTCACCGACAACCCCACCCCTCCGGAAAAATGGGAGGAAAGATTTGTGTTTGTATTCGTGGGGTCGCCGCTTCCCTTCCCTGATCGGTGGAACACCTACCCCGTTCAGGACGCCTCCCCAAGGGTGGATGCAGCTATTCTCTGTCAGTATGAAAGACTTCGTCTGGCCGGTTCCAAGAACTTACGGTCCTTCTTGACTCCCGCTAAGATGCTAGCTGCTGGCATTGGTATGATTCTTCCATTACTTAGTTCGTTCGGTATATTCTTCAATCTCCTGTTCATTTTTCTTCGTTCTTTCCTGTAGGTGTGATTCCCCCCGTTTCCATAAAGCGTCCTGCTCCTACTCCTTCCTCCACCGCCATAGTCAGCAAGGGAAAGGAGAAAGCTAGTCATCCGGGTTCTTTTGCTGGCCGGGAATCTGGGCCAGTAAGCAAGCGGCCGAGAATTGAAAGCGGCGGCGCCTTGGTCCCGATCGATCAGGTCATTGATCTGACGGATCCTTCTGTGGAAAGGATGCCTACGGTCCCCCCCCCCCCCCCCCCCCTTCAAGGAAGCTGGGCAACAGGGGAGGTGTTGCTTCAGATAGTCTCCCGATCCCCGATCAGTTGACGGTGGAGTTTTCTGCCATGGGCCCCCGAGCTGAATGCCGGACGCTGTTCGGGCAGACCGCATCCTCCATGTGGTGCAGCACTTCTTTGAAGGCTGGCGAGGGCTTCACCAATTTGACCCATTGGTCTGATTTGGTCGTATTTTACTGTCCAGGTTTTTTGCGTTTGAAGTTCTCCGGACGAATTCGTACCTCTTATTGTTTTATTTTTTCTCAGGCCGGTACATATTATCACCGGGCCTTCCTAGCTGTTGAACGGGAGATGGTACATTTGGCTCAGGAGCTTGATGAGAGTAAGACCCTCCTGGATGCCGCCCGGAAGATGGCCGCAGATCTTCAGGATCGGGCAAATAAGGGTGATAAGGCTAGGGCTGAATTGGCCGAACTGGAGCAGAGGCTCCAGCGTCGCGATCGGGAGATCTGGGCGTTGAAGGACAAGATTGCTGCTGCCGAGGCTGCTGGTGTTAAATTTAAAAAGGCCCAACCTAAGGAGGGCGGACAACCAGCAGTCCCCGTTCAGGTTGATATTTCTAGAATCACCCAGCAAGCGGTGATTGATTTCCAACGGGGGAAAGGCCTGAACCTCGCCCTCGAGAATACTGCTCGGGAATTCCTTGGCAAGCATCTGGGCGAATTCCTAGAGAAGAGCAAGGATCCATTACACGATGGCCTCAAGCTTCTGGATGAGACCCCGTCCGGGACAACCTTTGCCAATGCTTTGGCAAAAGATACCCTTGTTAAGTGCCAAGATATGCTGGTCGACCGGAATCTGGAGGTGATCAAGGAGTCTTTTGACGAACCCTTCGACCCCAAGGAAGAAGGTTTTGATCCGTTATTCTGCCGTGCTTATCAACGGGTGATGGAGAAGAGGCAAAAAGCCAAGGACTCAGCCAATCCCCTGAACTCCAACTCGGATGCCGTGCCGAACAAGGATCCTCCCGTAGCTTAGTGATCTCTGTTGTAATCCCCTTTTCTTCTTCTCATGTGTAATTCCCGGCCAATAGTGCCGAAGAATAAAGATTGGTTCATTTCTGAATATAGTTATCTCTTCCTTTTTTTTTTTTTTTCACAATAAGTCAGCATCATGATTAAGATGCAAGCCGTTCGACCCGTTCCTGGCACCAAAGTTGAGGTGCAGTCTGTTCGGCCTGTTCAACGCTTGTTGCGACCCTGAGCACCATGTTTCAGATCCGTGCCGTCCGGTTTATTACCGTCGGCTGGTTGTTCCCCGAACGCGCAAATCCTCAATGTTTAATGCTTGCTGCGCCCCCTAGCACCTTGTTTCAGATGCATGCCGTCCGGTTTATTACCGTCGACTGGTTGTTCCCTGAACGCGCAAGTCATTAATGTTTAATGCTTGCTGTCTGCTGCCTTGTAGGCCCAAGGCTGAAGTAACCTGTTCGGGTTATCATCCGTGTTTTTCCTTATCCGCAAGGTAATCACCTCTTGCTGCAAGACAGTTTCACAATTTGTGTAGTGTCTGCCATCTTCCAAGCCCATAATTTCGATGCATACCGTCGGTTTTACCGTCCGGGGTCATCCATATCATGAGGTTGAGATGTCCATCCTGGACCATTGAGAATAAGGCTCCCAATTCGGGTCTCCCCCTTATTCTCTGCCAAAATGGAGACTCGCCTCCAGGATACAGCTCGGGTTCCACCACCATAAGGTTCGGGCGAGCTGCATGGCCAAGGCAAGATTTTAAGACCAGAGTCCCGATCCCCCGCTCGGTCACCCTATGATTTCGGATGCCGCCCGGTTCGTCCTACTCAAGATCTTTTACACCATCTCCCAAGCTGAGTCCGGGCTTGGTTATCCTGCACATTATTATTATTATTATTATTATTATTATTATTATTATTATTATTATTATTATTATTATTATTTTTTTTTTTTTTTTTGTGCTGAGATGATGGCTCCCCATGGATCGAGATGAATGACATCCATGGATCAAGGTGAGACTTTTGGCCGAGTTTGTGGTGATGCCGTTCGGCTTGTTGATGCCGTTCGGCTCGCAATATTCCTCTTAACTCTGGCCTCTTTGGAAGCATTGTTCTCCCTCTTCTTTTTTTTTTTTTTTTTTTTTTTCAGAGGTGGCAACAGCCGTTTTTATTGATAAAATTTCCGCAAGTGCGTAGCGTTCCATATCCCTGCCGGACAGCCTTCGGTATCCTGTAGGGAAAAGGTCCCCATCCGGTATTTTTTCCAGACCCGGTATGGTCCCTCCCAATTCTTTGACATCTTCCCGCCCTCTAGCGGTTTGCTTTTCTCTCTATTCCTCAGGACAAGGTCTCCAACTTCAATCGAACGGATTTTAGCCTGTTTATCCACATACCTCTTAGTCGCCCGGTGATATTCTTCCATTCGTAAAGCTGAGAGGTCCCTTCTTTCCTCTATGAAGTGGAGTTCAGCACGCAGATTGTCCTCATTCTGCTCAGGATCATAGTGGATGGTTCTGTGAGTGGGCACCAAGACCTCAGTTGGGACCTTAGCCTGAAATCCATAAGCGAGGGCGAACGGTGTTTCCCCGGTTGCTGTTCGGGGAGTTGTCCTGTATGTCCACAAGACGTAGTTTAACTGCTCGGGCCAGGTTGACGTGTAATCTTCGAGTTTCTTTTTTATACCATCCATGATGGTTCTGTTCATGTTCTCTACCTGCCCGTTCGCCTGCGGATATGCTACGGAAGCTCTTGAATGCTTGATTCCCCATCTGGTGAGGAATTCCTCGAAGTTCTTGCTCACAAACTGCCGTCCATTATCCATGATGACCTGCTCGGGCAGCCCGAATCTGCATATAATATTTTGCCAAACAAAACGTTGACATTGAAAATCCGTGATACTGGCCAGGGGTTCGGCTTCCACCCATTTGGTGAAGTAATCAATCCCCACTATGATGTACTTCCTTGCTCCGGACGCATTAGGTAGGGGCCCTAGCAAGTCAATCCCCCACCTAGCGAATGGTAATGATATGGTCATGGGGGTGTAAAAGGTTGCAGGCCGTCCAGGTACTGGGGCGTAAAGCTGACATATCTTGCACTTCCTCGTGTGCGCGAAACAGTCCTGTTGAATAGTTGGCCAATAGTATCCCTGCAGGATGATTTTCCTTGCCAGGGTCTTTGGCCCCTGATGGCTGGAGCAGATGCCTTCGTGAATTTCTTCCATTACAGTAGCTGCCTGATCAGGGGGAAGGCACTTCAGATATGGCCCCCCCGAACGTCTTTTTGTATAGTTGTCCGTTCACTAGTTCGAACATTGGGGCCCTTCGTTGTATACAAGTAAGGTTGTACACGTCATTTTTATCGTTCGGTAAAGTCCCATCCTTCAGGTAATTTGTCAAGTCAGTGACCCAGCTTGGGACGGCATAGGACACGGCATCTACCCGCAGGATCATCGTTGCCGGTGTGGTCAGTATTTCTCTCTGAGCGAACCTCTGGATGTGTGCAGGAATGCCTGGGGCATGATCATCCCGAACGGCACATTCTAGTTTGGATAGGATGTCCGCCTCACTGTTTTCGATCCTGGGAATCTGGTCAAGTACCACCTGTTCGAACCTGCCGATTTCTTCCTCAACCAGTTCCTTGTAGGCTTTTAGCCGTTCTTCCCTAACTTCGGCAGATCCATTAATCTGGCTTACCACCAGCTGACTATCTGAACGAATTTTTAATCTGTTGGCCCCCAGGGCCTTGGCATACTTTAATCCAGCAATAAGGGCTTCATACTCGGCTTCATTATTGGTTACCTTGAATTCAAACTGAACGGAGTAGTATGCCTTGAATCCCTCGGGGCATGTTATCACAGCACCTCCACCACAGCCTTTGTTACTGGACGCTCCATCCACATACATTTCCCACCAATGGTCATGCACTTCTCCGTCCGTTCCTTCTTCAGTTGATCTGGCAGTGCATTCGGCAATGAAGTCAGTCAAAGCCTGTCCCTTGATTGTGGGGCGAGGTTTGAAGTCTATTTCATACTGCCCGATCATGAGGGACCACTTGGTGATACGCCCACTTGCCATAGGATTTCTTAGTATGGTGGCCAGGGGCTGGGTAGTGTAGATGGTGACTGGGTGTGCCTGGAAATAGGGTGCTAGTCGCTTGATGGTAGCAATCAATGCTAAGATGGTTTTTTTCCATTAAGGTGTACCTGGTTTCTGGCCCGTTCAAGGCTTTGCTCACAAAGTAAATAGGGCGCTGAACACCCTTCTCTTCCTTCAATAAAACAGAACTGACCGCCAGATCAGCCACAGCCAGATACATATAGAGATGTTCCCCTGGATCCGCTTTAGTCAAGACCAGGGGGGAAGACAGGTACAATTTTAACTCTTCAAAAGCTTCCTGACACTGTGCTGTCCATTCGAACGGGTTGGCTTTCTTCATTATTTGGAAGAATGGAATGGCACGATCGGCCAGTTTAGCCATAAATCGGCTCAAGGCCGCTAATCTTCCGGTCAGCTTCTGAACTTCTTTCAAGTTCCGCGGTGCCTCCATGTCCATGATTGCCTTTACCTTCTCAGGATTAGGCTCAATTCCCCGCTCGCTCATCATATAACCCAAAAATTTGCCCCCCTTGACTGCGAAGGCGCGCTTTCTTGGATTCAGTCTCATGTTGGCCTTCTGCATGATCCCGAAGATCCTTTCCATGTCCCGGACATGATCCTCCTTCTTCCTGCTCTTGACTAGGATGTCATCCACATATGCTTCCATGGTTACTCCTAGCACCTCTTTGAAGAGCATGCCGATCATTCTTTGGAAGGTGGCCATGGCGTTTTTCAAGCCGAATGGCATGACGATATAGCAGAACACGCCGTCAGAGGTGACGAACGCGGTTTTCTCTGCATCATCTGGGTGCATGAAGACTTGGTGATAACCTCGGAAGGCATCCATAAAGCTCAGCAGCTCACACCCGGCTGTTTCGTCCACCAGCAGGTCTATTCGTGGGACAGGATAGGGGTCCATAGGGCAGGCTTTATTCAGATCGGAGTAGTCCACACACATTCTCCAAGTAGATCCTTTTGGAGCAAGGACCACATTAGCCAACCATTCAACATGGATGACCGGTCTAATGTGCCTGATTCTTAGTAAGGTGGCTACCTCCTGTTTTGTGAACTCCCGCCGTTCAGCCGCCTGATATCTTTTCTTTTGTTGGACTGGCTTGGCATCAGGCCGAACGGCCAACTTGTGGCAGATGAGGGCCGGATCAATTCCCGACATGTCTTCGGGTCCTCGGGCAAATAGGACCTGGAATCTCTTCAGGACAGCGATCACCCCTTCCCTGATGTCCCCTTCAAGGTCCATCCCGATCGCAATTTTACGATCGGGAGGGGAATCAAGCTCGATGTACTCTAGGAGGGTGGCTGGTTCGGGGCGTCCTTCAAATTCCGTACGGCGGGTCTGCATCTCAATGCTGTTTACCCCGTTGTCCCCGGGTGGTCATTTGTTTCAAAGCCTCCCTGTAGCACGTTCGGGCTATGGCTGGATCTGTTCGGGCCACTCCTACTCCAGTGTCAGTTGGGAACTTGATGCATGAGTGTCGAACAGAAGCAATTGCCTCCAAATCTTCTAGCCCTGGACGACCCAATATGGCGTTGTGGGCACATGCAATATCCACCACCGCGAACGTCATCCGGACTGCCGCTCGGTGAGTTTCATCACCAATTTCCACCAGAAGCTGGATGGTGCCCTCTGCCTCTATTACATTGCCGGTGAAGCTAGCCAGCGGCGTCTTCAGCTTGGTCAGCTGGTCCTTCTTCAGCTTCATCTTCTCCAACGTGCGTAAATACAACACGTTCACACTACTCCCCGTGTCCACCAGAACTCGGTGGATCAAGGCGTTGTCTATACACATACTCACCACTAGCTCGTCCCTGTGCGGACTTGATGAGTTGGGTAGATCAGCCACCCCGAACGTAATTGGCTCCAAGCGGCCCTTCTTTGTGGGAGGTGCAGCTACAGTGGCGACATAGAGGCTGCGCTCAAATTTCTTACGTTCGGCGGCCGTATCCCCGGTCTCTCCTCCACCAAAGATGACTTTCACCTCTAATCGTGGCCTTTTTTCCCGGATTCCCGGATCCCTCAGCCTCCTCTATAGGGGGGAGGTATGATTCATTACTGGGTTCTGCATCCCGCTGGGCATCCCGCTTCCAGCTATTGGATCGGGGAGGGCGCTGGTTGGGGGAAGGGTTGTTCAGGTTGGTGCTGACATACTTCCTCAGGTAGCCCTTTTGGATCAGGTCCTCAATTGCCACATGTAGGGCGTGACAATCCTTTGTGAAGTGTCCATTCCGTTGGTGGTACCTACAGTAGGCATTCGGGGTAGGTCCCATCACGGGCCTTGTGTCAGTAGGGGGAGGAATAGCATTGTGTTCCAAATGAAAAACACCGGCTATAGACATGACCAGGGGGGTGAAGCGCGCAGTCCTGCGATGAGGTGCTGCCGCTGCCGGTGCGGGTCCCAAACGTTCTGCCAGCCTTGAAGTGGGAGGCTGTGGGGCCGTTCGGTCCCTTATCTTGATCTCTTCTTCCAAGGCCGCATGACCCCTGGCCCTTTCCAGGACGTCTGGGTAGCTGGTTCCCGGGTTTCTCTTCAGCTCTCTGTATAAATCCCCCGTTTGAAAGGCATCGGTAAAAAGAAGGATGGCAGTCTCATCTGTCATGCCGGTCACCTTCAGGGTTTCAGTCCTCCACCTGGTGAGGAACCCGGAAATTGATTCCTTCGGTCCTTGTCTCACACTGATCAGATACCCGAAATGCAGCTTCGGGGTTGTGCTGGAGGCGAACTGGGCCAAGAATAAGGTGGATAGCTCTGCAAAGCTTCCGATCGATCCGGGTTGCAATGTTCCGAACCATTCCTGGGCTGGTCCCCGAAGGGTGCTGAAGAACAACCTGCATATTGCCGCGTCGGTGGCCCCTAGCAGCATGAGGCCACCCTGGTAACTCCTCAGGTGTACGTGGGGATCTCCCACCCCATCGTATGTTAAGCCGGTCGAGGGACGGCAGTCCCTCAGGATTTCGGCGTTCATGATTTCCCTAGTAAAGGGAGATGTGATCCCAACCCGTGCTGGCGGGGTTTGTTGGGGCGTCCGATTGACCTGCTCTCTGAGCTCAGTCATCTGTCTTCTCATTTCGGCCATTTCGTCGTCTTGGGCCGTTCGGGGAGTGTGTGGTATCCTAGCATCCACATATTCCGGTATTCTGTTTTGGGGAGGGGCAGTTGTGTTAGCTCTTCTCCGGATGAAGCGTTCCCCATCCCTCTGGATATACTGAAAGTGTTGTCCAACGGGGTCTACCACGGGGGTAGGATCCCTATATCCGTTCCGAGGTGCGGACGGGGTTCGGCTGGCTGGGGCTGACTGTGCATGCCCGTAAAGGTGGGTCCTCCTGCGGTTTCCTCGATGCTCCTGGGAATGTGCTGAGGCCGTGGTGGTCTCAGTGCCTTCTCTTTCGTCAAAGGGCGACATAGGATGAATGGGGGATAGGGGCTCATGAGTCTCGTCGGTGTATCCCTGTTCCTGTTCATCCGCCATGCGTTGCATGGCCTCTGCCATCTCTCTCATCAACTGAGGGTTCATCCTTACGTCCCGAGGGATGATTTGCTCGAACTCTCGGGTGGCACTGCCACTGGCGTGTCCTTGCATGGACCACCCTTCAGAGGATCTATTGCCTCCTCGGCCTCCGGATGTAGAACTCGGTGTAGCGGTAGTAAGCCTAGCCATTTCAAGAAAAATGGTGCTCAGATCAGCGGTTTTCCTTGGATTTTTAGTTCGTTTCCCACAGACGGCGCCAATGTTGAGGTTTATTCCCGAAGATCCGAAAGCCCAACACAAGCCTTGGATATTATAGGGATATTGGGTAGGGTTGAAATGTGTAAAAAATAGTCAGATAATATTCAACTCAAGAACTTACTTATATTCTGTAATAAAGCAATTACACTGAAACTACCCGAACGGTAGATGAATATGAGATTACAAGGATGGGAGATGTAAATCTATTGCTAAGCTCTAAGTATTAAAATGCTAACCCCTCACAATGATCTAAACATGGGTATTTACACTAAAATAGGGATGGGTGAGGTGGACACGTGGCCAAGTCCGGTAGGCTGTCACTTCTGCCATGTATGCACCCATGCCCCCACTTGCTGCCGCCATGACCCAGCATTAAATGCGGCTTCCACTTGCTGATTGCTCGTTCGGGCAGGGTGTTCGGTGTGTGGGACCCCGTCATAGGTGCTATCCTGCTTATGGACATATCCCGAACGCCGATCGGTATCTGAGCACTGGCACCTTGATGTAAGTGATCCCTGGAATGTTCCAAGTATAAGCTTTATCCCGAATGCTGTCCGGGAATTTCTTTGGACTGTCTTGGGCCCGCTTCTTTTTCTTGGATTTGGGCTTAGGGATATTGGGCCTGTACCTAATATCCCAACAGGGTGTTTTCAAATGAAAGCTTCTGCTTAAATTAATGGGAGAATTTGAGTTTGCACCCCATGTTTTGGGTGATATTTGACTTTGCACCCCATTTTTAAAATCATTAATGTATGCACCCCCATTAGCCCAAAAATTGTGAAGGAGTAGGGTGCAAAGTGAAATGATTTTATAGTGAATTAGGTTGCATACATTAATGATTTTGAAAGTAGGGTGCAAAGTCAAATATCACCCAAAACATGGGGTGCAAACTCAGATTCTCCCATAACACTAAATTAATCACTTAAAAGCTAAAAGCTGGAAGCAGGTGGAAGGGTGCTTTAAACTGCTTTTCACTTTTTCTATTACACAAAAAGTACTTATTTTACCAAACACTACCAATTTTTACTTTTTCAGAATCACTTTTTTCTCAAACACTACCAACTTTTACTATTAATCACTTTTCCCCAAATCACTTTAAAAAATCACTTTTTTAAAGTTGAAGCAATTGCAAACACTCCCTAAGTGGCCAAAAAAGTTAGGTGCACATCCTTTAACTTGTTTCCAAGTTACCCTCTCTTTAGAAAGTATCACTTAGGGGTGGGCATATCAGTTTTTGGTTCGATTCTTATCGGTTTCACTTTCGTTTTGTTTGGAACGGGTTGTAAGAATTATTACCAAACAAAAACCATACTATTTTTCGGTTCGATTCAATTCGGTTTGGATTTCTTATTTTCTAATAATATATGAAGGTTTTATTGAATTTCTTTAGTTCAGTTCAGGTTTGTTCAATTTTTATCGGTTTACATTCGGTTCGGTTTAATACAGTTTGAAAGAAATACTACCAAACTCAAACCAAATTGCATATGGTCCGGTTTCGGTTCGGTTTAGTTCGATTTGGTACAGTTTGGTTCGGTTAAACCAACCAATATGCCCATCCCTAGTACCGGTGTATGAGTAAGTAAATCCCATCCTCAACCATCCTTGTGATTTTTTTGCAATGGAACTATTCGGAAGTCATCGAAGAGTCAAAGAGCACAGAGAACTCTGTTGACAAGTTTGGCCAGGAGAGAATTATCATTTACTCATTCAAAAAAACGCCAAGTTCAAGTTTTCCAAAGAAGCAAATAACAAATTCAATATAATCTGTAGTTCCAAAGGTTTATCAAGCCCCAGTCTTGACTAGAAAAGCTACAAGTGCAATATGCTCAAATCTCTATGTGCTTCCATTGATGTACTTTTTTCAATAATGCAGTTGATTTTCAAAGCATCATCATAAGTTGCAGAAATAAAACAATCTCAGTTCAGTTTAAACTTTCAAGCAAGCTCATATATATACACTCCCAAAGTGGCATACCTCCATATTCACTACCTTATTGCCATATTGGAGCAAATCTTTTATGATGATGAAGCAGTGGCAGCACTCAGGGCTTTCTGCAATTCACTCTCAAGCTCACTAGACCTGTTTTCATTAGTCACTTTTGTCTTGACCTCTTTCTTCCCATTGTCGCCCCCATAATTCTTTTTGTTCCTCCACTGCTCAAGACCACTTGAGCTCTCAACAATGGGAGCTACTGTCTTCTTCCCAACACACTCTTCCTTAGAACTGCCTGTTTTCAGAAAATGCCCAGTTTTCATAGTTTCCAACTTTGCTGTCATCTCTCTGTTCTCTCTCTGCAGTGAATCCAATTCCTTCTTCATCCACAAACACATCCCTTTCAACAACTCCACGTCACTCCAACTCTTCTCCTTCTTCAGCTCCTTAACCTCATCGTCAACCCTCTCAACCCGAACCTTATTCAGATTCAGATATGGCATTCGATTCCCCAAATCCTCCGGCAAATTCACACCCCACCGGAAACTAATCAACGCCTTCTTTGTTATCTGCATTTCAGTCCTGGCCATGATGGAAACCCCCTTAACTAACGACTCTTTTCCATTGTGAACCGAGGAGAAGTCCTTGAAATTCGTAGGTCTGTCCAATGGAACAAACCCAAATGAATTTGACAAACCGTTGTGCTTAGGACTAGGGTTAGGGTTGGAAGAAGTAGCCTTCTTCAGAGAAAAAGAACCAAATTGAGGTTTGAGGAGTAAAGTGAAAGTCGGGGCGGGCTGGGGGTTCAGTGGGCACAACGAGAAACTGGCGCAAATGATAAGAGGGGAATTCTTCGGAGACCCGAAAACGCCGATTCCCGATTTGAGAGACAGTGTTAGCGGAGGTGCGGCGGAGCTTGATGAGGAAGACGAGGCAGTATAGGCGAGTTTCAGATTCGGGCCGGAGGAGAAGTTGGTGGCGAGGGAGACGGATAAGTCAGAAGGGTGTTGAGTGGTTGTGGTGAAGCCAGAAATAAAAGGGAGGTTGAAAATGGCAATCGGGATTTTAGCTCTGAGAAGGAGTGGCCGAGTTTCGAGATGGTTCTGGTGGTTGCTCAGCTGCTGCGGTTGTGGCGGAGAACGGCGGGGGTCGTGAACCTTGAGGGAGAGCTTCATCTTGTTTTGTTCGCTTTACAGTTCAGTTTCTTTCATCTGCAGAGGAATTGGGAGAGAGCTTCGCCAAACTCCCAGCCCGATTTCATTTCCGGGTTCGCCGAACTCATTCCGGGCCAAAATTCGGAATTAAAATGTTTTTGGTTGGATCCAAATTTGTTGATCTCGTGTGATTTGTTTGTTTAATTTTTCTTTGATCAGGTTTGAACTGGATTGGTCTGATTTTGAAAAATGTTTGCTCTTTGTATATTTTATAGCTACAGAACTATGGTCTATACCGGGACTGAAAGTAGTTCAAGTAAAAACATTTTTAGGTAAAGTTGGGACTTTTAAACCAAGAAGAGGAGAATCGAATCAGATTGAAACGTTATCACCCGATTCGGTTTAATTCCAACATTTATGGAGTATTTGTTAATGGTTGAATAAATATGTATTTGGAACCGCTAACGAACCATTATATATATACTCCGTAATAATTAAAATTTTATATACTCCGTATTACTTATTAGTATCTAATAATTCATCAATTCCATTTATTTTTGGCTTAACTTTGTTCGTAAAGTGTCATAATCTCAAGCCGCTTAGGGTTTAGGCAGACAACTCCGCCATGGAGATGAAGAGTGCGGCGATCGATTTTTCATCGGTCAAAGAGGAGGAGGAGGACTGCATCGTCCAGGATTCGCGTCCTGTCTCTAGGGTTTCACCGCTAGAGTTTTATTTGTCCGCTATTGTCTTTTGGTGAGGAGCGGTGCCGTCTTCCGGCAATTCGTTCGTGGATAGGGAGATTCCGGCAAGGGTCGGTCAAGGCGATGAAGGAAGAAGATGGAGTGAAGGCAATCTGACCCCCTCCTGAACCGCCGCCGGTGATTCTTGGAAGGCTGAGTGAAGAAAATTATTTCTTTGCGGTTATTTATGTTAATGGTCTGAATTTGTCTGTATTTGTTTGTTGTTTTATCTCTTTTGATTGTAAGACTGTGATTTTGGATTTGGATGTGGGTGATGGAATGACTGCGGTAACCGTCTTTTGCTCATTTGTTCCCATTAATGGATCATTGAGTTATATTGCTGAGGCGATAAACTCTGAGTCTGGTTCGAGGGACGGCGGTTGTCATGAGTTGTTTTGTCGAATTATCTACTATCTGAATGATGTGTTATTAATATAAGCCTCTTTCATTAAAAAAAATCATCAATTCCAACATCCTCATTTGCCTAAACATTTAAAATTTGGTATTTAATAATTTATCAATTTTGTTAGTCTATAGAGCAAGTAAAATCGAACATGTGTTAAGCTTCTACATATGACAAAGATTTGCTATCTTTCTAGTGGTCACAAAGGTAAAACACTTTATTTGAAGCCTCAGGGTTTGTGAAGAGTAGATAGTTCATCAAATGAACCACAAACTCAATTTTAGACCTTTCGTGTCAACAAAGTGTTAGACCCCTTAACATTTGTGCAAACATATCTATTATCTTGTTTTTAATATCTCTCTACCTATAACTCATTTAATGGGGTATAATTTTGTAGTGCCACAAATTTTTTAGTATCAATTCTGTTGGGATATAACACTTTGGCCCAATACAGGCCCAGATATTCCTAAGAGCCCAAAACACAGGCAGGCCAGCAACACAAATAGCCACTTCAGGATGAGCGTTTGGCGATCCCGCACGAGCATCGTCCTATGGTCCGTCCCTTTCACTAGGGCCACTCTTCTCAATCCAGCAGCCGCCCAAGTCAGAACTCCTCCAAACAATTCGCGGGGAAACCTTAGAGTTGACGGGAAGCGTATTTAATGCACCAGATATGGAAGATTTTATGGTTGGGGGTTCATCCACTCAGGGTCGGCCATGTCACCCCCTTCACCTATTTATTACCTATAAATAACAGAATCTATTTCATTGAAAAGAGTTGAGAACTTTGTATTCTCAAGCATTAGACTTCCTCTAATTTTCACAATAGCTTTGAGCTTAGTCTAAAGGATCGGAGCGCCGCTCGGTATAAGTGTTGTAATTGTTCTATTGACTTTGAATATAGTTGGATTTACCTTTGCCTCTAACTATAGATTTGTCTTGCTATTTCCTTGCCTTAAAACGCTCACTAAACAATCCGCTCTACCTAGTAATTCCAACGAAAGACAAAGGAATGTGTTGGGCCTTTGGACACTGAGGATTAAACCTAAGCAAAATCTTATAATGTTATTGGTTTTATTCTTATTTTATACTTTAATATAAATGATTTATCGCTAAAGATATTGTTCATGATCTATAGTCCAATAATATATACTACAATCACCATTAATTGTTCAAACAATTCAATTTGACAAAAAGTTAATTGTTCATGTCACCGTCGTTCTCTCGTTTTGAGTGTCTCGGTCGATGTTTTCTCGACTTTTTGGCAACTCGCATGTATTGGGTTCTAAACTTTATAGTTTTTGTTGAAACATGTTACTTGGTTTACCTAATTTGGGAAATTTAGGTAAAAGATACATTCTATGTTCAAATATACGGAGATAGTAATGGCAACGAGGCGGATCGGGGACGGGTACACATAAAACCGAAACCGCCCCGTTGGATAAATGTTTGCCCCAAAACCGCCCCATTACCCATTCGGGTAATTTTTATTTGAACCGTACCCGCCTCAATGGGGAATCGGTTTATCCACGGGTAACCGTTCCCCCAAATGATGTCAAATAACCATTTTTTCAGAAAATAAATAACCAATTTCTAATCCTACTTGTTATTTATATATTCAAAGCACCCTAAAACATAGAAAAGTAAATATTTAAGCAATCAAGCAGACTGGCCTAAATCCATTGGAATGACATGCTCCTAATATCTCTTGTAACATAATAAAAAGGTAGTAACTAGTAATCATCCCAGAATCCGAATTCCAGAAACAGGTTTAGGCCTATATTTAGTTTTAGGCCTAAAAAGTAGTATACTTTTTAACATTATTTATATGATATATACTATTTAGTATACACAATTTAGCATATATACTTATTATTCTTATATATAAAAAGTTATAATTCATTAATAATGTTACGGATCGGGTAACGGTGCGGGTACCCGCACCATTAGTGAACGGGGCGGTTTCGGGGCGGATAACGGGGCGGATTAGTATAGAACCATAACCGCATCATTAACCATTTAAAAAATTCGGGTATTCCCCGCCCCATACCCATTCCCCAGTCAAACCGGTTTTCCCCAGTTTGACCAAATCGGTTCGGTGCGGGTATCCAACGGGTCGGCCGAAATTGTCATCTCTATACGGAGATTACGAAGCTACCACAGAATGTTTAAATAGCCTGTATGATTCATGTTATTTATTTAAATCGTCCATCGATATTAATTAGTACTTACTCCGTCTCTGAAACAACTTCTCACTTTCCTTATTTGGATGTCCCTAATTTAACTTCTCATTTCCTTAAATGACAAATTTATCTACATCAAAACAGTGCCAAACAGTGCCAAACAGTGTCGAACCAGTAAAACTTACCTCTGATAAGTTTAGTTCCTTAATATGTGTGTAGGTCAAATCGGGAAGTTGTTTCGGGGATGGAGGTAGTATATCATTATATTTATCAATCATTAATGTTTATTAAACATTTGTCTTTTACACTTAATAAAACTAATCATAGTAAGCAAGATTAATAACTCGAGTGATGTCAGGACTGTCAGGTTTATAGTGACTGTTTAATATTTAATTTTTGTAACAGTTTTCATGCAAACTGTGAATGATACACTTGGGGTTATTTTTAATGTAAACGATAGCCTAATTTAGGTCATATAAAATGGATTTAAACTTTGGATCTCTTTTAGACTACTTATTATAAAGTTATAAAAATTTGGGCTAAACCTCGAAAATATGATCTAGATATATTGTGAAGGAACACAATCTGCTTGGACGCTTGGTTTTCCAATCCATTTTTCTAGTATGGAATCATAATTACATGTAGATGTTATCATTATCTATCTGCTTAGTTCTGGAAGCAAGTTTCATTCGACGCATACTATACGAAATGGTGGTTAATAAGATATTTGGGGGCGTAGGTGAGACGGTAGATATAGGGGCACAATCGGTAAGTCTCAGGTTCGAATTTTGACAAATGCGATCAGTGGCGGAGTCAGAGGTTTGTCCAAGGAGGGGCATACTGAAGACTAAAAAAATTTAAAGTGCGTGTTCAAAATATAATAAGAACGACAATAGCGTAATAAATTAGCACAAAATATAGTTCATTACATACTACTTGATTCACTTCTGCAACCTAGGCAAATCAATCCTACTAGTTTTCATATTTTGAAAATGCTGCATAATATATAGCTTCATTATCAATTGCTTGAAAAATGTCTCTTTCGATGTAGCAGACTAAGCAATTTGTAAGATAGTCATCTCTCATCTTATTGCGAAGATCTGTCTTGATAATATTCATCGCTGAAAAGGCTCTTTCAACTGTGGCTGTTGCAACCGGTAACACTAAAGCCAAATCAATAAGACGATAGACCAAGTGAAAAGATTTATGAATTGTAAGACTAGCATCATTGTGCACACTCTATATAGTACCAACATGATCTCTAAATTTTTCAGGAGCTTCCTTCCAATTCCGGAATCCGATCTCACAAACACATCATCACCAAATCTCTTTCCTTTTCCCCCATGAAAAAGGTAACACCAAAAACAGAAAGCGGCATCTTCAGAAATACTATATTCCAACCATTCCCAAGTTTTAAATCACTCTCCTCGAAAGCTCCTTAATGTCTTTCCAAATTTAGTTCGTGGAAATTTATGAGATACTGGTTAACAAGCACCTTTAACAACATTCTCTCATCACATCATCCCTAACCCCCGACGCATATTAATTAATTGGTTTTCATAAAAATGGATCACTAATAATTAATAGATAATAGTGTAGGGATACTTTTGGAATTACTTATTCTTGAATTATTATATATACACACATACGGCTACCTCTAGGGTAAGCCATTCCCTCATAATTCTCGTATGGTATCAGCTGCTAAGGTTCTAAACGTCGAACCCTAATGACTTCCGCTACGTCTACAGTGCCTATGTCGGCTTCGGTGGAAGCTAGCCTCTGTCTCATACGA